GAGAGAGAGAGAACAGCATCTCCTTATTAAAGAGTTTAATACAAGCAGAACTACTAACCTCCAGGTTGGCAGTTCAAACCTACGAGATTCTCCTTGAGAACCCTATACAGGGTGGGGTCGCTATAAGTCAAACCCACTTGACAGCCCTAACAACAAACCCTTAGTGCAGTGTCTGACATATTAAGTGCTCACTAAATAGTTGTCATCACTGTTTTTATTACTATTGAGAAACAAAACCAGTCATCTCAATTTCAAAGTTCCAAGTGGCTCTTCCAAGCGACATGAAAGAGCTCTAAGCTGGATTTTAATGATTTTTCTTTAATATCAATAATTCAAACCCGCATTCACTCTAAGGCTTCTGAAGGCACAACCCATACTCCATCCCGCCAATGTTTCCCACCTCCTTTCTGCAGTGAGGTCCCAGACCCTGATCAAAGAAGAGTGATGGTCTCAAACAAGAATGGAAAATACAATGTTGTGCCTCTCCTGGAGGTATCCGATGGTATGTCATATGAGTGCCTGCCACAAGCAGTCTGGATGTGATTTAATCTGCAGATGGGGGCCGAATTTAGATGATTGCAGTTATCCTCTGGGTTTCCTTCCTGTTAGAGCATGCGCGCATTACAGCTATCCCTGTTTGTCCTGTCTCCCCCGCCCCCTTCCCGTTAGTGCATGCGCACATTACAGTTAAGGAAGCTCTCAACAGCTGCAAGGAGCTCTCCTTGGTAACAAACATGGGATCAGCCTCCCACCCGCAACTGGTAATACTTGTGACTCTTTTACACTAATAGCCATAGATGACACCAACCACAAGCTATTTCGTCCTCATCAGACTTGGGAGAGTTGGTCACCAGTCTCTGGAGCTGGGCCAGTGTGCTGCAGGCTTCCTCCATCTCTTTCCAAATGAGAAACACGTCCTCTCTGACGCCGGCTCCTGGGAAGAGAAATACAGAACATAAAGCCAGCTGAGGCAGGTCCAAGAACTCTCAGATAGCTCTGGCCAGCCTGGCACATCCCAGCCAAGTTTCTAGAACATTCTGAACACCAAATGTACTTTCTTCACTCATTTCTTTCTAGAATCAGAACGGAAAGCCCTAAGGAAATGCTGTCACCTCGGGGTATCAAAATACCCACGTGGAGTGAATATTTGTATTAGCCAGAATATTTTTGGATAGATTATTCACAGTCGTGAAATAAGACAAAGCATTTAAAAGCATTACAGAGAAGTGAGGGTCACCACTCTGAGGAGAGAAAATACAGTGGTATCGCTAAGTATCTTTGATTCACCTCCACAAGTCTTTATCCCCACCCCCACCCTCACCTCCAAAGTAATACCGAGATAATGGGTAGCAATGCTGACTAAGGAGGATAAGCATTGGGCTGCAAACTTCAGTTCTAGCCCACCAGCCACTCCGTAAGAAAAAGATGAGGCTTTCTGCACCCGCAAATATTTACAAGTCTCAAAAATCCTATACAGTGTTGCTATGAGTCAACCTTGAAAAAGGACATAATGCTTGGTAAAGTAAAGGGTCAGCAAAGAAGAAGACCCCCAACAAGATGGATTGGCACAGTGGCAGCAGCACTGGGCTCCAGTGTAACAACAGTGAGGCTGGTGTAGGACCACTCAGTGTTTCTGTTGTGTATAGATAGGGTTGCTATGAGTCAGAACTGACTCGATGGCACCTAACAATAGCAACAACATGAGTCGGATCCCACTTGATGACACTCAACAACAACAGCAAGTTTATACTGATTTTCAGGCTTCCTTTTCTGGACTTCAGCTGTTTCCGTTGAGAGTTAGGTTTGTCTGTATGACATTTAAAAACATAATATGGCTTAACTACTATAGATGTTTCTCTCTCACCATAAGGAAAGGATGGAAGGAAAGGAGATGGTCCAGGAGTAAGCAGTCCAGGGCTGAGATGAAGGTTCTGCCTTCACCAAGATCCAGGCTCTGTTTTTGGCTCCACTATCCCAGAACATCCCTTCTACCTTCAAAGTCACCTCATAATTCCATATCTAGCATTTCCAGATTACAGCCCAGAGGCAGAAAGGGAGCTGGAGAGGCACGTAATAAGCTTGCCCCTAATCAAGTCAGTGGCATACTGGTATGGCACTGTGCGTTGATGCACTGGACTGCATGGTCAGTTTGAACCACAAGGTCAGAGGTTCAAGCTCACCAGCCGCTCCTCAGAAACCCTGTATAGGGTCTCTATGGATCGGAACCAAATCGATGGCACTTAACAACAACAACAAATCAAGTTAGTCTCTTTTAAGCATCTGTCCCAGGAGTTCCCTTATAACAGTTTCACTGCCTAACAATGGTCACAGCTAAAACACATGGCTCCAGCTGGCTGCAAGGGAAACTTGGAAAGGACTAAGGAGGAAGGGAGTGGATTTGAATGACAGTCTCTGCCACATCTGCTGAGGAACTGCTCTGCAGCCAGTTGTACCCAGCCGTGGCTTGTCACGCTCAGCACCTGCATGGCCCAATTTCCTTATTGTTCACAACCTTCCCAGATACATGGTCAAGTCATAGTTAAAAAAAGAAAAAAAGTGCATTCTCCACGCACTGTCTGCATGCCCTGTGAGAGAAGACAAAAAGAGTTTCTATTATTAGCAATTACCTCAATGTGTTGTTGTTGTTGTTGTTGTTGTTGTTAAGTGCCGCTGAGTGGGTTCCAACTCATTAGGATCCTGTGAAGGGTTACTGAGGAGCGGCTGGTGAGTTTGAACTGCCAACCATATGGTGCAAGCCAACCTTGAGGTCGAGCACTTATCCTATGATGCTACAACAGGACTCCAAAGAACCTCAACAGGGTTTCTTTTTCTTTTAAAAGGACAATCCCTAGGGACCTTACAAATATTAGTGCCATGATCACCTTACCCCACTCTCTGCCAGAGCTCACTGTGTATGTGAGGCCAACAGTGACTCAGACAGGAAATCACAATCAGAAGATACCACAAATCATCACATCAATGCCATCACTGGGCCCAGCTACCAAGTCACCATGGAGGTTACAGACAGGTCCCTGCTCCGGGGATAGTTCTAGCATGGTTATACAAAGCTTATAACAGAGGTATTCTCTGCTTTTAAAAACTTCATTCCAAAACAAAATCATTTAAAAAACAACTCTATTCCACAGACTATATGCAGTTAGTTGGTCCAGATAACACTGATAATGTTATCATTAAAACCAACAATTAAGTCCACATTCCTTTCATTGGTGCCTGCTATGTGCCTACACATTGTTGTTGTTAAGTACCCTTGAGTCAGTTCTGACCCATAGCAACCCTGTATAGGGTTTCTGAGGAGCAGCTGGTGAGCTTGAACTGCCGACCTTGCAGTTCAAACCAACTTTGCAGTCCAGCACATTAACCCATAGAACTACACCTAATGAGTGGGTTCCACACCAGGATATAACCCAACAATTCCACTCCCCTGGTGTAGCGCTGTAGGTTAATGCACCAGACTGCAAAGCCATTTCAACTGCAAGGTCGGCAGTTCAAGCTAACTAGCTGTTCCTCAGAAACCCTATACAGGGTCGCTATGGGTCAGAACCGACTGGATGGCACTTAACAATGACAACATACATACCCAAGGAAAAAGATGAGGCTTTCTGCTCCCATAAAAATTTACAGCCTTGGTAACCCTATACAGAGTCACTATGAGTTTGAACCAACTTGACAGGATATAACAGCAGCAAGAGACTTGAAAGCAGGGGCCCAAACAGATACATGTATACCAGTATTCACGACAGCATTGTTCACAACATGGTATAGTCATACGAGATAGTCAGATAAGAATAAATGAAGTTCCCATTTGACCTAGCTTAGATGGCTTGCAGACCAGAATTCGACCACATGAAGATAAAGGGGTATGATACAGGGAGCACGTGTGAATTGCTACAACCTGATCAACTGGACCTTAGTTTGTGGGTGAAGCCGCACAAAATTCCAACTGAATAGGGAAGGAGAGCTCCTCATATCAAGGGTCAGGCACGCCTCCTCAGTACACTCAGTACACTCAGTACACTCAGTACACTGGCAACTTAGAATTTAGCTATCAAAATTGGGGGGCTAAAAAGGCATGAAATGGCTGACTTACAAGCTTTCATGAGGGTGATTAGTGTCAGAACAAGGTAAGTAAGACAGAAATCCCACTGATTGGTTTTCCTCTTGTCCAGATGGGTCTGGGGATGATGGGGATAGGATTTTATGAGGCAATTGAGAGTAACTGTTACCAAGTCTAATGGTGATTGTCACAACTGTAAATGTAGAAAAGGTGCAACTAGAAGGGGGAGTTGTTAATCTGTCATTTCAGGAACAGAGGACCTGAGGACTATCAAGAGGGAGGAACATGAAAGGAGTGAAGGATCATAACCAGAAAAGCAGTGACAGCAGAGATGGTGGCAGAGGCAATGACATAGAGAGACAGAGCAGCAGAGGACTACAGACCCATGGACTAAGAAAGGCACTGTGCCTGTGGGCAGGAGGATAGCTTACAAAATGTGCTCTTTGGACATTTAAATGGATATAAATTTTCAACATGGTATGTGTACATCAAAAAAGAGAAAAAGGTAATAGAGGTACATACTGTTGGCTAAGGGTGCATGGAGGAGACTGTAATGATTAGAATGATTTGCTGAATGGAAGGCTGAGGATTGCCCTGTAAGCTTTCACTCACTCAATGCACAATAAAAGCGTTTAAAAAAAACAAGAAAAAGAAGAAACTAAATTGATATGTACATAATGAAAACATTATGCTGAATGACATAAATCAGACACAAAAGGATAAATATTGTAAAATCCCACTTACATGAAGGTCTAGAACAGGGAAAAGCATAGAAGCCTAAGATTATTCATGGTGACCAGGAAGCTGAGGGGAGGAAGGAATGGGAGTTATTGCTGGAGGGGTGTTGAGTGTCTATTTGGTGTGGTGCCGAGGCTTAGGAAATAGAGGAGGGTAATAATGATAGTACAACATGCTTAATACCACTGACGTATATACTTAAAATGCTTTCACTGGCAAATTCTTGTTACATATACTATACAACAATAAAATTAGGTGGTAGATATATTAGGAGTACAGAGCAGAAGTGAAGGGCCCTCTCACACTTGGCCAGACAAAGTGCAGAAGTATTAATAGCTGTGTTCCTAAAGAAGCAAGTGACAAGCCCTGACAGAGATGGATGTCTGCCACAGCTTTGCAGCCATCAATAGCCCAAGGAGCGCAATGTGATGTGTACTCAGCTCTTTGTTGGAACTCCAAAAATAACACACACTGTTGCCGAATGGGATCCTTAAGCAGCCAGGACTTGCCAACCACCGTAACAGCAAGACTCATTTCCAGCTACTTGCTTTAGCATGGAGGTGTTAAGTAGCAGAATTCTTCTGTAAAAGCTTCAAATGAGTTAGGGCTTTTCATTTCTTCTAGACCTGTCAAGAATTTCTTAAGAGGCCGTATCAGTATCAAAGTGAAACTTTTCAAGGTAATACAGTTCATCTTGATTATCCAAGAAAAGGGGAAGTATGTTTAAAGGGCAGCAGTGACCTGGGGGAGTCCTTATAGAGAATAAGCAGAGAAGAGCTTGGCTATTAACCTTTGAATGGTTCCAACCAATCCAAAGGTACCTCTTAAGCACAGCCTAGCTTTGCTCCTTCCAAAAGTTCACAGTTATTGAAAAGCCTATGGAGCACTGTTCTACTCGATGGGGTCACCATAGGTGGAAACTGACTTAGGGCAGCCGGTGTGGGGAGTGATCTGAGACTCTCTCCTCAGTACAAACAGCAATTAGAATAATCACCACCATGGTTTGCAGACCAGAATTCGACCACATGAAGATAAAGAGGTATGATACAGGGAACACACATGAATTGCTACAACCTGATCAACATTCCAAATGAGTAGGGAAGGATTTAGTACGTAAGCAC